CTAACCCTAACCCTAACTAACCCTAACTAACTAACTAACGGCGGTTTCAGGGTAGGGTTCAATTATTTTATATTAGTAGGACTAACCCTTTAGGTCGACCCGTGTAAACCCCTTTGAATCACCGTAGACTCGTTATTTTCGGGAGTAGGAGAGGACATTTATAACATTTTAATATAAGTTGTTATGTAAAACAGTAAAAACTTAAACCGAATAGTCTAGTAACATACTAGATTCTCTTCCACTCCATATAACGCTCCTTCCCCGATACCCCTCCACTTAATAACCGGTTAAACTCCTCCTCGGCTCCGGACTGACCGGGTCGAAGTTTCAATCTAAACGGCCACTTCTCGACGACTGTGTGTCTTTCTTTCATCGCCGCCCCATTGGACTGCCCTGCCTCGGCGAACTTGAAGTCCTTTACGAACCTTAAGAGATTTGTTAAATCTAGTTTAATGGCCGTGGAGAGAAGCCATTTCGTTTATGCCCTACTTACCTGTCGAAGATGTGGTCGTGAGATGTAACAAAATCTCTAGCAAAGTCGAGCTTGATGAGAGCCGGGTCAAACATGCTCGTTGGTTTTGCCTTGACCGGCAAGTACTCGTGCAGGCGTTTCGTAGTTAGGCTACGTGCTATATCGGCAATTCGGTCTTCAGCGGTTGTGTTTTCGTCAACAGCGTTCATGAAGAGGGTAATGAGTGTCGCGTGTGGGTTGATGTGAGGGTCTTGAAGCAAAGGCACCATCAAGTCAATTGTGCGACGTATTCCAAGATATCCAGAGTCGGAAATATTAGAGACCTGTACGAAGCGGATTAGAAATTATCGACGATACATAAAATCTAAATGCGGTATAACATTCGAACACCTTACCTCTATTCTGTTAAAAGAACCACTCTTGAGAAAATTCGGAAGATCAGAAGCATCCATCTGCAACAGTTGAAATGATACCTGTATGCCGGAGAGACGAACAATGAAGGCTCGAAGCACTGCACGAACATGGTAGAAGAGCTTGCCGTAAATATCAGCAGTCGCAGGCCCACTCGGGCTATCTTCCACGTCCTTCAATGACCATCCGTCAAGAGGATTGGCGCTGTCATGCATCGGCCAGGTGTCGATGGTCTGGAAGAGAGTCCTGCAGCCTATCAGATTATTTAAGTCGTTTACTTGGTTGATGTTGTTTATGACTCACGGGTTTGGTTCGTCAAAGTCGGAGCGTGGAGATGCAAACGGTAACAGGAGGCCGTCCTTCCAGAACCGAGTTATTGCAATTCGACGAGACGGAGATTGCAAAAGCAGGTTTCGATCACGGTAGTCCTTTCTGGATTCAGCAAGGGTAGCAGCAATGCGGATATTATTCGCACGTTCCGCCGTTAAACCTTCTGGAATTTTCAGGAAGGACAAAAGAGCATCCCATGATGGCTTTCTCAGCACAAGCCTCAGAGAGTGGTTTCCGAATCCCCATGTCTTTCCCAAGATGGTACTAGTTGGTTTGTTCTTGATCTTTTCACAAACGCTTTTGATGAGAGGATGGATTCGATTTTGGAGGATGATCACGTCGGACGTACGAATGAGAGCCGAGTACCAGACGTGGATCATGCAGTCGATCGCTTCGTTGATATCGTCAACTACGAAGGCAATCAGTAGTATGATGGCGTTTCGTGCCACGACATCAAGATCGCGGTCGTTCATTGTTATACTGACAGGTTGTTTGTAGCAGTTGGGAAGCTGTGCGATGGTCTTAGCAACATTGCGAAGGTCTCCGGAAGCTGTACCACAAAATTAGTATCACTTTAACGCCTAACGACGAAAAGCCAAACTGAGCACGTACCAGCAAACAAGAGGTGCAACTGCTCCCTATAGTCATCACCTTCATTTGACCCAAGACGTAGGATGTCAAAGGCGGGAATGTTACCCCACAGGAATCTTGTCCCCCCATACGGTACGGCTATCCCTCCTCGAACAAATGCCGGTGTTCGATTCTCTCCAACCCAGTCGGGATTCCATGTTTTCTTGGCCAGATGTGACCTGCAATCCGTTTTGTGAAGGAACCAGTGAGACTTTTGGCAATTCGGTCCGCAGTACTAAAAGGATGTTTTAGAAAAAGGGTCATCGCTACTGACAGAAAGGACGTGTACGCTGTGACCTACCGCTAATAAAAAGCAGTTTCCACAACTATATCTACCAATTTTACTGCAGTCAGTGTTGTCCGGGTTCCAGTTTGCACACACGAACGTTGGAGTTGCCATATTGTTTTCTTGGGAGTCAACTGTTGCGTCACGCGATATTTTGTAGTTTGACCAGATGGGCTGCGGCGTTTCATGTTGATGTTCAGTCGGTCGGGCATAGGTATCTTACGGGGCGATGATAATACGTATGGCTGGGCGCCCCCATATATAAATGTGTGCCCAACCATAAAAAGCGTTGGGCATCAAGAATTCGGTGTCTTGCAGAGCCGCAAATGACGGGTTTCATAACTCGCCGCAATTATATGGCGCCCCATAGGTGCAATGGCCTGTACATATAAAATTTCTTTTATTATTTTACTTCACGTACGAAGTTTTAATCGGAAGCTCACCTAGTCACATGACAAAGGGGCGGTTTACTTAATCTCGTGTTTATATAACTCTGGGTATCCCGCCCCGACTTAGTATTAACGAATTACGAGATGTCCCTCGGCCCCTCCCGTATTCATCGTATTCGGTAACTAAACGTGTCGAAAAGAAACTACATTAACCTCGTCCCTTATTCAAGACTCGGAACGGTTTCCACGTCTAATTTACAACTTTAGCCCAATTCTCTCCTCTCGTAAGTTATAGCCTAGCTTAAATAGAAACAAAACTTGTGTAATTACATAGCGCTCATATAATATTAAACACGTGTCTACAGATACTCCTCGCGACGACGTCCGCTCGTCATTCTCAGTGGAACCCATTTCCTCGGACACCATTTGCTCTTTTCTGTCATGGCTTCGAGCCAGAACGAGAATAAAGGCAAGCGCGCAGTGGCCGGCAGCCCTGGTTCCGGCATTCTGGCATTGGCGCAGATGACACTGAATTTAGTCACCCGTCCCGTCACGCAGTTATGGAACGACGTTTGCGAAGACTGCAGTGGCTTAGAGTTGCGCAAGATCATGTCTATCAATATGCATCTGTTCCAGACGTACCAATATGGACTCCTGGTCGCAGACGTCGGTGATCGCTTCAAGACGATGCCAGCGAATGGATGTCCGCTCTGCCAAATGCTCTTTGCTCACCGCCTCAAAGCGCGGGGTGAGGGAGAGGCGAGCGATGGGCACGAGATCCGCGCCTTTTCGTATGTGCAGTGGTATGAAGGGGTTAACACACACGACTTTGTAATGCCCGACCCGGGTATCTCGCTATGTGTTGTTCCGCGATCCTTTGGATTTGACCAGCCTCCAGAGAGGATGATGTCCCACTTTCGGGAACACGGACACGTTTTTTGCTATGACTCCTTGTCGTTCGGATTCAACCTCTTGTCTCCGCGCGTTAGGAAAGACAGATTTGATGCATCGTTTGTCCAGCCGCTGTTAGACTTCTGCCGTGCAAACCACAAGCAGTGCGCGCCACCTACTATCCCCGTGGTTGGGCTGCGTCTGCTGGATTGCGCGACGCGCAGCCTTGTTTCGGCGACGCCGGCCATGGCGTACGTCGCGCTGAGCTACGTGTGGGGTAGTGGCGGCGCCGGTGCTGACCTCCCGCCCGTGGCCGCCGATGCCATGCAGGTGGCGGCGGCGCTCGGGTTCCGCTACCTCTGGGTGGACCAGTGCTGCATCGACCAGGAGGACTCGGAGGCGAAGCAAGTCCAGATCGCGCAGATGGACGCCGTGTACCGCAACGCGGCGCTAACGATCGTGGCAGCCGCGGGCGCGTCGCAGAGCCACGGGCTACCAGGCATCGGCACCCGGTTGCGGACGGTCCAGCGGACGGCGCGCATGGGACGCTACCGCGTGGTGGAGTCGCTAGCCGACCCGTACCACACGATGCGGCGGTCGCGCTGGTTCACGCGGGCGTGGACGTTCCAGGAGGGGCTGCTGTCGCGCCGCTGCCTCGTGTTTACGGACGATCAGGTATACTACGAGTGCGCGGGGATGAACACGGCCGAGGCAGTCGCGTGCAACGTGGCCAACTTCCACGAGTTTGACCGCTCGCGCTTCTTCCCGTCCATGCGCGGGTCCCTGCTCTGCACGGACCTGCAGTACGTGTCGCCGCATGCGTCGTTTGGCCAAGTGCGCGGCCTGCTCGAGCTTTTCACCGCGCGTAAGCTCAGCGTCGAAAACGACTCGCTCAATGCATTCCTGGGTGTGCTGCACCACTTCCGCCGCCAAGATTGCCCCGTTCGCCACCTCTGGGGCGTCCCCTTTGTCGTGCACCCGGGCATGGTCAAGTATTACTACGAGGACGTCGACGCCTACCTCCTCGACGGCATGTGCTGGCGGCATGTGCACAGCTGCTGGGACGACGACGCAGACGACGCAGAGCGCCGGCCCCGGCGGCGCCCGCAGTTCCCCTCGTGGTCCTGGTCCGGCTGGGCCGGCGCCATCACGCACGACCGCGCCCCGCACCCGCACCAGCTGTCGCCCTTTGGCAGCGTTCTGTCCTTTCTCAAGCTGGAGAGCAAGAACGGCTCCTTGGCGGCGTTTAAGGACGTCTTTGTGAGCCCGCAGGGAGACATTGAGCCCTGGTGCTATCCGGCGGCGCTTCTGTTCAACGCCGCGGTGGTGCACCCGGACAATATTGAGCATCGGCCCAGCACCGAGGAGTGCGACGGCAGCGATCCGAGCAAGCAGTGGAGGGTCGCCGGAATGTCCGCGACCGTGTCTCTGAGCTGTGGCCCATCGTCGCCATCTGGCCTTCTCTCGGCGTTGCGTGACGAAGAGTACCTTGCAGTCATTCTCGGGGTGGACAATCGCATCGGGCTGGAGCCTGGGGTCAGTTTTTTTGTCTTGCTTGCAGAAGCAGGACCGGGCGACCTGGTCCACCGCTGTGGACTACTCACCGTCCAGGCGCCACATCTGAGAGAATTTCTAGCGTTTTACGACTCTTGCGACAGGCGGAGTTTCCGCCTAGTGTAAGTAACAAGCAATGCTATCAATCCACAACTTTGTTTTGCAGCTAGGTGTGACTCTATCCTGATACTGGACCATCCCGCAGACGTAGGACCATATGTTGCGTCTCCTGGGTTTCAGAGTGAGAGGACCCAAGCACCTTTTCGCAGCCAGCCAGACACCGCTCCATCAAGTTCCGTGCCTCTTCAGGCCGCCCCTGCTCCTCGTAGCTCCTGGCCAAATTGCGCATCGCCCTGACCGCCTCGAGGCTGTCTTCGCCGTGAGCGCTCTGGCATGCGTGAAACGAACGAGCAAACAGGTCGCCTGCTTCGACGAGCTTCCCTTGCTTCTGATAAACGCAGGCCAGGCTCTTGGCGGTGGTTGCAATCTGCCTGGTCGCTGGGCCGTGGGCGCTCTCGAACCCTGCAAGCGCGCACTGAAGAAGGCGCTCTGCCTCGTCGAGCCGCTGCTGCTCCAGATAGAAGCTACCGAGGTGCTCGGCGGCCTCAAGAGAGGCCCAGCCGCACGGACCGAGGACCGTCTCGTACCCCTGCAGAGCCCTTTGCAGCAGTGGCTCAGCCTGTGCCAATTTGCCCTGCTCTATGTAGATCAATGCCAGCCGGACGTACGCGGGAAGGACCTGCGTATTGTTCGCTCTGTGCTTCTTTTCGAGCCCCGCCAGCGCACGCTCTGCCAGCGCTTCCGCTTCAGCGAGCTTCTCCTCCTTCTGCTGCTGCTGACAGACGCTGGCCAGGCGGAGGGCGTCGCGCAGGGTCGACGCGTGGTCGCCCCCCACGTGGACCCGGTGGCCCCGCATCGCGCGACGAAGCAGTTCTTCGGCGTCACCCAGCTTTCCCGGCTGCAGGGCATGCAGCGCGCCGAGGCTGCTGGCCACGTCCAGCGTCAGCGCGCCTTCGGGCCCCAGCGTCTCATCACTCAGCTGCAGCGCCCGCGCGTACTGCACCTCGGCGTCCGCCAGCGCGCCGAGCGCCATGCGCGCGTCGCCCAGGCGGTGCACCGCCGCTATGGCCGTCTCGTGCCTCGTGCCTAGCGCCCGCTCGTAGCCCGCCTGCGCACGCGCCGCCAGCTGCTCCGCTGCGACCCGGTTCGTCGCGCCGCACAGCCGGGCCAGGCTCGCCACGAGCGCCAGCGTGACCCCGTGTGCGGAACCCAGCACCTGCTCCGCCGCACCTAGCGCGCCGCGGAGCACCCCCTCCGCCTGTGCCAGCTCGTCGCGTGCGAGTAGCACACACCCCAGCCCGTTCAGTGCCTTCAGCTGGCCGATCACGTCGCGCCCCGTCTCAGAGAGCGCGTGCGCGCGACGGAACAGCTGCTCTGCCTCGTCGAGGTTGTTCTTGCTTGCGAGTGAGACTTCTGAGATGCGTTATGTGTATTTGTGGTGGAAAGATGCGTACCTTCCGCTCTTCTTCCTCGGCCCGTTCGTACAAATCTCCCGCCTCAAGAGCCGCTTCCGTCTCGCCACTGAAGAGAACCTTGGTCGTTATGAAATAGGATAGAGAGGGGTCCTCGAGGTAGGATGCCGGGAGGCGAATCGCACCATCTTGCCGCTGGCCCGTCTGCTGGGCCACCTCCAACTCGTAGGAGGATATCCGGATGGTCGAAGTGGCCTTCACACTCACACTTGCGGACTCTGCACCAGAAGACATTGTCTGTTCCAGCGAAAAAAAAATATACCTAGAGTAATATTGAGTGGAAAAACTAAAAGGGGAAATGGAGTATCATAAGCGGCCAAACAAACAAGTCATTGCGCATAAATTAAATGCATTTAAAAAGTGATACTTTTTAGGGAGCAGCCCAGAAGGTGCCGCCAGCCGTCTAGGCCATTACCTATGAAGCCTCGAGGAGCCTCACTTCGTTCTCAGCCCCAGGCAGCCAGGCGCTCTAAGCATGGATGCCTCAGGCACCAAGTATTACAAATGGCCCTTCCCAAGACGTTGATGTTCTGAGAAAGACAATGAAATCGTGTAACGGACGAACAATAAGTCAACACGTAAACGGGCTAACACAAAACTTAGGGCAGATTTCTGCCGCAGGTACATGTTACGTAGGCGTCTGCTCCGGCGGCCGTGTCTACAGCACTGATGGAACATATGGCAATCGGCTTTGTACGGCGAAACAACTGACCTGTTGCCACAATAATAGCACCTGTGGGTTTGAAGAAGCTTTTTGCGGCACTGAAAGTTGGCAGATGGGAAACTGCACCTGGGCATAAGTGCAAGTGCTATTTTGTTTACTCCTGTAATTTGAAAAACACCCCCATATCTCATTTTTGCGTTGAAACGGAGCCACAATCGATATACGTTCGCATCGTCAAGGTACGTATGTAGTCTAGTGTACCATATAAAGCCGTTTTAAACGAGCCATATCCCGATGAAGGGTATGTCTATTAGTGGTAAGGTGTTAATATTTCTAAAGGGGGTTGTATCTTTTAGAAAGTTTATTTTTGTTTGAAGACAAAAAGTATATCTCGGTCATACTTTCGCCTAGCCCTATTAAATTTTCTGTTTTATTAAAAAAATTCTCCAGTATCGCTTCTTACTGTGAAGTCTTCTTGTGATTTATTTTACCATCGAGTACCGCCCTATTTTCTGCTTTCTAGCCCATCGATAAGAACAAAGTTTTATTTCCAAATAAGACTTATCTGCCGCCGACCTGTCCTTTAGGAACTGGCTTAATCCACCCGAGAGCCACATTCACTGCCATGGTAAGAGCGCCCATGATCCAGATAGACTTTGCATAAGCGGTTCCGTGATAACGGAATACGATCGCGAAGATAATTCCTCCGAAGTTGCCGCTGGCGCCGACGAGTCCAGAAACGATTCCTGTCACATATGAGATTAGACAGAGAAAATAGCAGATACACAAACGCAAAGGAGTGGAAAACGTAGTAAAAAGACACCTTACCATTAGCAAATGGGTGCACGTGTGGCACAACTGAGAAATTGGCACCATTTGCGGCCTCAAGGAAGAAAGCCAGTCCTGCCATAAGGCCAAACATGGTGCTTTCACTGTGCGGATCCGACAAGCCGATGGCGAGCTCGAAGGCGCCCGTAACGACGCCCAAAAAGGTTACCCATAATCTCTTTGCCCAGACAGAGTGCGTGCTTCCGTATATGTAGTCGCCAATCAGGCCACCGGCTGGGCGAAATAGGACATTGAGCAGGCCAAACATGGCTGCCCAGTTACCAGAGCCTGTCTGGCCAAGGTAAGGAAAGTTCTTGTAGTAATAAGATCCGATATTGGAGTCGAGCACCAGTTCACCACCTTGTGCACCATTTGTTAGACATCACAAGACTAGTCAGGGGTGAGAGAAGAGGGGTTACGATGCACATAGAACTGAGGAAACCCACCAAAGGAGCACGCATATGGTGCAGCCAGTGCCAGAGACTGTGGGCTGAAAATAACAGAGAGGGCTTCCCGTAATGTCGGGTTTACAACCATTTCTCCTAAAGCGGTGGTCACAATCTCTGAGTCAGGGTCGGGTACTGCGCTCTCCAACTTAGAAGGCTCTTTTTCCGGCACGGGGGAGTCGAGTTTTGAAGCTTCCTTCGCCTTCTCATCTGCCAACGACGGTTCCTCCTTCTGTAGAGAGCCATCGGCATTGAGGGCTTTGACAACTTGTTCTATAATCAATGGCTCAGGCGGCGGGGATCCCGACTCGCCTTCGATGACAAGATGCCTCTCGGACCATTTGCCCGTTGGTGTGTCTTCACACAAAAGGAGCATGCCAACAGCGACCGCCACGATCAGAATAAATGGAACGATAAACGCGACCCGCCATGCTACATGATCAGTCAGACCTCGAGAACTGACCAGAGAATTGAAGACGGCAGGCATAACGAAACTGGGAGACAAAGCAGGAGAAGGTCAGTAAGAGGTGATGTATACCGGCAGATGATTCATGATCAAGCGAGACATACTAGGCAACTCCGCCTCCAGCGTTTCCCCAACCACCGGCGAGAGCGTTGGCAGTGCCGACCACATTTCTGTCGAAGAACCCCGTGCACCACACTTGGCATGGTACAAATGTAGCGCCAAGGATGCCAATAAAAAAACGGAGGGCAATGAGGCCGTTTGAGTCTTTGACCAGACCCGCCAAAGCCGTTGGGATGGCGCCGCAAAACAAAATTCCCGCGTAAACATAGCGCGGACCGAATCTATCGCAGAGGGGACCGGCCACCATACGGACGATGAGCCTGTAGAGCCTCCAGTCAGCAAAATCTCTTGAAGATTATAACTCATTATCAAAAGGAACGCCGTACGTCGCTAATAATGCAACCATGTTTGAGTTGGCCACGTCGGCTGGGGTCATGTTCAGATCTTTTTTGATCGTAATTGTCATCTCCATGATGTGAAAGAATCGAGTCAGTATTGCAGCTCATATACAAACAGCTAGACAGCTAGGACGATTCGTGTGGACAGTGCTCGCGTGGTCGACTCACAAGCGGGGGGAAGGCAAACCAAGACAAGAACGCTGTCATGAAGCCCAGCCATGAGAAAAAGAATACCCGGCCATACTTGTTCCCGAGGTTGAAAATGGGCACCGACAAAGCCTTAAGGGTCAATGTGTTGACCTTTGGCTGTCCAAAAAAGATTATTGGTTTTGTTACTGTCATCGTGACCTGAGTTCCGGTGATAGGGAATAGGTAAAAGCAAAAATGAATATTAACGATAAAAACAATGACGTAAAAGGTGATTTAGACTTGCAATAATCTTTACAGAAAGAGCAATTTTGAGCCCAAGTCCACGGTGCTGCCAGCTGTAATTAATAGGAATTTGATGTGTGCGTTCACTTCATTGCAAGCAATGCTGGGCCGAAACAGGCAATGGCCAGCAAAGAGCATTTCCCGTGACCTGGCTGGGACTTGGTCTAGATTGCTGAGAACAAACTTTTGTTCTCCGCGGACATGTCAGTTCAAGAGCTGAGCAAATAAAAACGGTATCCTTATCTTGAGCTGAGAGATAGACGATAGATAAGGGGATCCAGGGGCTATGCGGGTGCTCTAATAAAAATTCCTGCATTTTGTCTGTTAGAACAAGGCTTGTTGCCTTTATCAGTGACGACATACCTGATCGGCGTCAGATATACCAATCTCTCCTCTTCCCCCCACGTGTAGACTGCCAGATATCAGTGTCTTTGTAATGTTGACCTTAAACACAACTAGTAACAGTGGCAGCCCAGAACTTGCAGAGATACATAAGACATCGTGTCACGTGAATGGTAATGTGATACTCTAAAGTCAAGTGATAAAAGGGCATAACAGTGAGAAAATGGAAGACCACAGAATGGGTGGAAAAGAAGCAAAATAATATAATGGCGTGCATATGTTGTATTCGTCAGACAAGGGTTGAGTGATCAAGTTCCATAGCACTGTTCGACTTCGACTTAGAGGAACTTGCTATGAAGTTTGGATATACTTCCAGTTGTTGCATTGACTAACCTGTGTGGCCATACTCGAGGAATTGCATTGTCGCCGAATTCTCCATCAATGACACCTCTCGCCTGCATCCCCTACTTATACTGTTGACGGCGTATTTCCATAGTGGCCGAGAATGCGCTTCCGCTGTCCATCCATGAATATGGAGGAGCTAGAAATATATATCTGATATTCTCTTTTCCCTTTTTCCCAACCAGTCAGAAGAAAACAACATCTGATTCTTTCCAGTCCATACGTCCAAGAGTGTCCCTGACAAAGTTTTCCATTGCTGGTGGACCGCAAACCAGGGCAAGCCTATTCTCGGCAGGCACAGCTTCTTTCCGGAGTAATCGCTCCGATATACGGCCGCAGAGTCCTGTCCATCCCGTAGGGGGGCAAGTGAGCGTGTGAATCACCTTATAACGACCGCTGTCCGTGGTCTTGCGCTGAGAAAGGAGGTGGAGGTTGTCCAGTTCCTGTCGACATAAGATATCCTGCTCATTTCTGTTGCCGTCCAACAAAGTGAAAGGTATTGTGTCATCAGCATCGCACGCCACGGCTCGCAAGACCTGCAAGATCGGCGTGATGCCACTGCCTCCGCAAATCATAACAAAGGACGATACCGGTCGCTTCTCGCCCCCAATTGAAGCCACACCACGGCCCACGTACTCGAATTTTCCCACAGGTCCTTTGAATTCGAGAGCTGTACCAATCGGCACCTTGTTTAGCGCTGTTGTCATACGTCCTCCGGGAGACGTCAGTGTGGGGAGATAGAGCTTCACCAAGAGTTCGAGGGTGCCTTTCCGTGTATTTTCTGACACGGGTGTGTACGCACGGAGAATGGTCTCCTCATTTTCTGTATCTGTATATCGCAACATGAGGTGCTGTCCTGTAGGAAGACCCACCTCTTGGTTGTCGTGGTCAAGAATGAAGGTGAAAACTTTTGTGTCAGACGATACTGGGGTGATTTTACTCAGGATGGCCTTGGCCCAATGGCGCGAGTCCAAAAAGATAGCGCGTGTCGGTGATAAAGATTTTTCTGTGCCGCCCTGATCACGCAAAACCTGTCGGCCTCTGTCATCTAGACTGCCGATGTGGTAATCTCGCAACATACGCTTTGCGTTTTCACTGTCTGTTTCGTGATTACTTCATTAGTTAATTGTTATGTCATAGAAGAGGCCGTCACCCGTGGAGGAATTGGTCTCCAGCATTGACAGTCAAGAGGTGACCAAGACCGAACCACCTGCAGCGCGCCCCCCCCCCCCGCCCGACTTACGGATTGCAATGAACTCTTCTGTTGCATCTGATGCGGCAACTGCCTGGATGCTCTGAGCACCTCCCGGGTGATGTTTCAAATACCCCGTGCCGTCATAGACCTCACCAGCGACCACGAAAAGCGGCCGCGCCTCTGAACTCTGCTCGCTGAACTCGTTGAAGGTGAAGATGCGCTTCACATCTGAATTTGCCATGTTCACCTCCTCCAGCGGTGGTGTCGGTGGCTGATGTATATCCTTAGAAGATATTTCGCCCCACCGGCCATTGAGTAAGTCACCCCCTGCCTTTTTGACCTTTTCCATCCAGCCGGGATTTCCAGACATCAAGGACGTTGGGTGCTCAAAGCGGAGCGTCTGTTTCCCAGTCTTCACGATGGTGACACGGAACCAGGGATTATTCATCATACCGAGCACAGACCAGTACATGTCACGGGGCTGGCACATCATGGCATCGTCCATGCCGCGGACAATAATGCTGTCGGCGCTCTGCAGCTCGTAGATTGGAAGTGTATATGCCCAGAAGCACCAGCAAAAACATGTATCGCGAGACGACATATCGAGGCGGCCACCGTAAAGATCAATGTCGATATCACGATACCTGTCTTCGGGATATTGAACGTCCGCTAGTCGCCACGCTGGAGGAAGTGCATCGTTAGTCATTCATATAATGGCGAAAGGGATGGCCTGAAACGTTGCTACTTTTGACGCTTCTATAATTGCTCACAATTACCACCGTCGAGAGACACTTCCATGCGCGTCACACGACGGCCACCACCGCTGTACGCATACCCGCGAATTGTATAATCTGGAACACGAGACGCAAGGTCGAGAACTTCGTCGTGTTGTGGTTGTGCAATTGCAGAATTGACGTTCAAGTCGTAGATAGCATATCGTTCATCTCGCCACCACGCTGGCTCGTCGGCTGATTGCTGAGGAGTTACGGTGGTTCTGCGGACACATTAGATGCTAGTTATACCTGTGCTAGCATTGCACCAATGTTGAACAAATAGAAAATAAAAAGAGCAAATGCAAGAAAAACTCACGGAAGAACCTTGTTGTCGTAGTAATGGTACCAGTTGTCACTGGGCTCGGCCGTCACAATCAGCCGACGCAGCCACTTCACGCTACGTCCACCAATCTGGCCAGGGACAACGGCGCGTAGCGGTCGGCCGTGGTCGGCCCTCAACGGTGCGCCGTTCATTCCATGGGCGAGCATAAGGCCTCTATTTGGGTCCATCGCCCAGTTGAGCTTCACAGATGTCCCGTAATGACCATTTGGCTGTATACAAGATTAGTATGCAGTGTATAACAACAATGTTTCGATTGTCAATTTGTTGGGGGGGTGAGTTATTCACTTACTAGATTGTCAGCTCCTTCCATGCAAACAAATTTAGCTCGCCTCATGGGTTTTGCCCTTTGCAGAATGTTGGCCATAAGAGTCCCCGTGAACAGTGCGGTAGACAAGCCGGCTGGTCCCCAGGAGAAGCCCTTCGATTTCCTCACCGTGTTTTGCTCCTTCCGTCTGTTTCCGGCACATACAAGCGTGACAGGCAGGGTAATCTGCTCAAATTCTTCAACTAGCTGCTTCAGAGATATTGTCAATGGGTTCTCAACAAGCCTGTACCGGTCGAGTAAGCATGTTTCTGTGCGCAAAGAAGGAAACGAATACCTAATAAAATAATTCAATGACGAAACCGCAACTTACCCCTCGACACTAAGTTCCCATGACCAAATTTCATTGTCCAAAATTTGAGGCACCGGGCCATGATTCCGCACGTAGAAGAGGTCAACAGAAGTGATAAAGCCTGGACATCCGAATACATCGGCTTCAGCATTTCATCTTTACCCTAGGTGAAAAAGTCAATCAAAATGTCAACAATATTTACCTTCACGATATAATGCTGTTAATGGCGCTTCGGCATTAAATGGATGCACACCGGTTAGGCGAATTAGACGGGAGTCGCGGGTGACATGGTTGTCCGGCGTCCCCTTGTCCTTGTCGAGGACTTCGGTTACTGGTGACCCAGAGGGTGGTAAAGGGATATCTAAGAGGCTTCCTTCGACGGCATGAAGATAATTATGTTTGGATTGGAAAGGAAATGATTTTGTATCAATCAAGGGGCCTGCCAGGGGAGACAGAAGCTTTGTTGTGGTGGACATCGTGATCGTGTGGCTCGCACCGTGGTCAGTCCGCCATGACTGGGCTATGAAGAGGAACGAGTCTGGCGGTGGACAGGTTATCAATAGCGGTAGAAGGTCTGCGTCACAAAATCGGCAAAGACAGGACTCAGCTCCAACGCGGGTAGAAAACGATATGCGGGAGTCGGGCAATCGACATTGGCAATGGCGAACAGATATTAGGGAGCTTTGGTGGAGACATTAGGGGAGCATGCACAGCGTCCTTCGCCAGTAAATAACTGACACATTTACAGAGAAAAGAGGTATCAAAATTTCCGTCCCACATTTTCTATTCCCCATGAATTTTGCATTTCCGAGACTTGATCCATGGCTCTCAAGCCACACATGGCATCATTGTAGATTGTGGAGGGGTAGCCAGTCAAAAACATCACTGTGAAAGGTATGCTATCGCGGGACCGTTCTCGACATGACTAATAATGATTTCAGTAGAAGACAATACTAACGACTAACAGGAGATAAATGCGCCGGAGATGTAGGAGAAGTTGGATTTTCATATCTCAGTATTCATTCGCACGGTCGAGTAAACAACGGGGCGGTTTGGATGGGATTTATTACATTTGATTGGCCCAGCGCAACCAAAGATAAGGGCCTGTCAGACAGTAAGTGGTAAACCCGCCAAATGTTCAATTTTGAGTTGGGAAAAGGGGGTTAATGATTGTCTGAACGCTCATTGGCCCGGCCCAACCTGATAAGACTGCCCCAATTCGATCGTAAAGTCCAAGATGAGATTTCTTCTTCGATCCCACGACCGTTCCAGGACGACACACAGGTTTGGTATTACGCAGTACAAAACTCCAATCGCATTACTGTCTCCTTATCTTTGATGCTACCGTATACCGCATCTCCGAGGAGAAAAGCTTGTTATTAAATGAGCACCGTTTACTTTTGGTGGCCCGCGTCCTACGCTTTCTATCACACTGCACCGTTACGCTGATGTACGTCGTGTGTGTCTCGGTAGTACTGGCCAGGCCTGTCTGAGTTATTTTCGCTCTATGTACGGGTCATCTTTTGCTTCTTTTTTTGTCGTATTTTAATTGAAACAATTAATGCATATTTTAGTACTATTTTGTTGTTCATTTTGTCTTTTATGTTTTCATTTTCATTTTTATTTTCATTTTAATATGTGTTTCACTTTGCTATTACTTTATACCATTTCCATCCTTCTTTCATTTACGCTGCCTAAAACATAAGTGCAGTATTGTTGTGAATTTGCCTCACATTTCCATCTACGACCTCAGCATCGTCGGTTATATCGGCATATCTTTGGCTCTTCTAGTTATTTGTTTGTAGCATTTTTTTTTCACTCAACGACGATACAGCTGAACAGAAAAGAGGATGGCCGACAGCGCCCCTCATACCAATGGTGACAACGGCATCAATGGTGACAACGGCATCAATGGTGTCAACGGCATCAATGGTGTCAACGGCATCAATGGTGTTAATGGGAATAATGGCCTTCAAAGTTCCCACCCTCCCCGGACCCGCATCGTCGTTGTTGGACTGGGCATGGTGGCTATGTCTTTCATGTGCGTCTGCACCGTGTGACCTCCCTCAATCTCGAAGCTCAACATACTGACACTGGGGACAACTGCAGGGAGAAACTAATGCAGCTGGACGCGAAGCGGAGGGAGTACAGTCTCGTTGTTATCGGCGAGGAACCGCATCTGGCATACAACCGCGTTGGCCTGTCCACTTTCTTCGAGCACCGTGTCGTAGAGAACCTGTACCTAAACCCGCGAGAATGGTACTCATCTCTGGAGGACGATGGATCGCTGAATTACCACGTCAATACGCGCGTGGCCGAGATCCGTCCTGCAGCAAAGAATGTCGTGACGTCCATGGGTGTCGTCATCGCATACGACATTTTGGTTTTAGCTACGGGTTCCGAAGCCGTTTTGCCAGCTACAACGGCCGGCCACGATAGCCATGGCGTCTTCGTATACAGGACAATCGCCGACCTTGAGAATATGATGCAGTTCGCAGATGAGCACAAAGGCTCCGTCGGCGTTGCAGTCGGCGGTGGTTTGCTTGGGCTCGAGGCTGCGAAGGCAATGGTAGACCTCGAGTCTTTCGCATCGGTCAAAGTTGTCGACCGCAACAACTACCTGCTCGCTCGGCAGCTGGACGCCGATGCCGGCCGGCTAGTCACCGAGGGGGTCCGTAAACTCGGACTAGACGTTTTACACAACAAACGGATCGCCACCATAAACACGGATGTCGACAAAAGCGTGACCGGAATTACGTTCGAGGACGGCGAGCAGCTAAATTGCAGCGCTGTCTGTTTCGCGGTACGTATGACAAACAAATATGACATCACGCAGCTGGTAATACGACGGAATTAACTAGATATTGGATTAGATTGGTGTGCAGCCACGAGACGAACTGGCGAGCTCGGCTGGGATCCGGACAGGAGAGCGCAATGGCGGTTTTGTTGTCGGCGAAGAGTGAGTCGTACCCGTCTTCATATCTGACGCTTGAGCAACGAGAAAATGGTAAGTGCAGGGGCTAACCGTGGGAACTCGGCGACTGCAGTCTTCAAACGTCCGTTCCTGACATATTTGCGATCGGCGACTGCGCATGCTGGCAGAACCAAACATTTGGCATCATTGCCCCGGGCATCGAAATGGCCGATGTACTTTCCTTCAACCTTACCGAAGGTCGCCTTGGGTCCGGCCAACCGCCACGCAAATTCGACCGCCCTGATCTCAGCACGAAGCTCAAGCTCCTTGGTATTGACGTCGCAAGCTTTGGAGACTTTTTTGCAGACAGAGACGGACCAAAATCGGTCCCGAACGGGGGATTAAGTCCCGAATCAGCGCCCGTCAAGGCTCTCACCTACAAAGATCCTTTCGGATCCGTATACAAGAAATACCTCTTTACACCGGACGGAAAGTATTTGCTGGGTGGTATGATGATTGGTGACACGCGCGACTATGCCAAGCTCACCCAAATCGTGCGTACGCAGGCAGTTCTAGAGGCGCCGCCAAGCCAGTTCATCTTAGGTGCCCAAAAAATTGGTGAAGATGACGGCTCTGATCTGTAAGCAACAATACTGGTACTGGAGGGCTAGAAAGTGTGAAATGCGCAGCTGAAGTAGTTCATAACGTCTGTTATTGACATCGTTTCACCAGTACCGACGATACACAGGTCTGCTCGTGTCACAACGTGACGAAGGGTGACGTTGTCGAAGCTGTCAAGTCAGGAAAGTGCACAGATCTGAACGGACTGAAGGCTTGCACGAAGGCGGGTACTGGCTGTGGTGGATGTATTCCACTTGTGCAGAGCATTCTCAACCGGACACTGAAAGATCTTGGACAAGATGTTTCCAACCACCGTAAGTTACCTTCTGTCTAGACATGGCACCCGACAATGCTCTGTTTATATATCAACCCCCGTCTAATACAAACGTAAATAACAGTCTGCCCTCACTTTTCCCGGCCGCGTGCCGACCTCTACAACATCATCGCTGTCAAGCGCCTCACAACATTTGAAGCTGTTATGCGCGATGCAGGCACATTCCCAGAGTCACTTGGCTGCGAGATATGCAAGCCAACTATCGGATCCATTCTAGCTAGTCTGTTCAATGAGCCAGTGGTGTCACGACAACACCATGACCTCCAGGACACAAACGACCGCTTCATGGCCAACATCCAACGCAACGGAACATTTTCGGTTGTCCCGCGCGTGCCCGGTGGCGAGATCACACCGAAGCAGCTGATCGCCATGGGCCAAGTTGCCGACAAGTACGGGCTCTACTGCAAGATCACTGGAGGCCAGCGGATTGACATGTTCGGAGCACGGAAACAGGACTTGCTTGCCATTTGGAGGGAAATGGTGGATGCAGGGCTCGAAAGCGGCCATGCATATGCAAAGGCTTTGCGGACAGTCAAGGTATCGTCTCCCGCCCTTTACACTCTGCTTCATGGTTACTAAACCACACAGAGAATACGTATGCTAATGCGACCTGGTAGAGTTGTGTGGGATCGACTTGGTGCCGCTTCGGTGTAGGCGACAGCGTTGGCATGGCTATTCGTGCTGAGGAGCGGTACAAAAGCATTCGGGCCCCTCACAAGATCAAGGGGGGTGTATCCGGTTGCGTACGCGAATGTGCAGAGGCACAGAGCAAAGAGTAGGCCTTTTTCGACCATACAACTTTCTGCCCAGTGGACTTTGCAAATTGATTGACCATTTGATTTCACTAGCTTCGGTCTCATTGCAACGGAAAAGGGCTACAATATATTTGTTGGCGGCAACGGCGGCGCGAAACCCCGGCACGCAGAACTTCTGGCCAAAGATGTGCCACCAGAGGAGGTTATTCCGATCCTAGACCGCTACCTCATCTTCTACATTCGGACAGCCGACCGACTGCAGCGGACAGCTCGGTGGCTTGAAAGTCTGCCGGGAGGTATCACCTACCTGAAAGAGGTCGTTCTTGAAGACAAGCTGGGGATCTGTGCCGAAATGGAGAAGCAGATGCAGGAGCTTGTCGACAGCTATTTCTGCGAGTGGACCGAGATTCTTGCGGATCCAGTCAGACAGAGCGTGTTCCGCCAATTCGACAACACGGATGAAGATGTAGAGACGGTCGAGGTCGTCGTTGAGCGAGAGCAAACCAGACCAACCTACTGGTCTCAGGAGTCAGCGTCTGAGGATTTTCGCAGTCATCACTGGTCGCAGCTTGCCTGGGAGCCGCTCCTCGAAACGAAGCACTTTGATGCAGACGGACGCTCGTCGGCGCATATCAAGCGGGGAGACACGCAGCTTGCGGTTTTCCGTGTTCGTGGCCGGTACTATGCGACGCAGCAGATGTGCCCGCACAAACGGGCATTTGTGCTGTCAGACGGCTTAGTCGGTGAGCAGGCGGCCAAAGCCAATAAAAAATGTGCCAGTAACGGCGACAGTAGCGGCGGAAGTAAGTACTGGGTATCGTGCCCATACCACAAGCGCAACTTTGACCTCAACGGGGATGTGCCTGGACGGTGCTCAAGCGACGATTCACTGAGCATCGCAACTTTTGCAGCCGAAGAGCGTGATGATGGATGGGTGTACCTCAATCTCCCTCCCGTGGAAGAGCTGGATGCAATACTCGGTACTTCGAGGTGGAAAACACGGAAGGAAGAAGCTGGTGACCCGTTTCAGAGGCTGGATCAGAAGTTGGGGAAGTCCCAAAAGGGTCGCAAAGGCCGGAAGCCAGCAGATATACAGCCTCCATCTCTACAGACCGTTTCAATTGGCTGGTAATCGCAGACGACGAAGCTAAGCCTATGATTTAGTTCGGAACCGTGCAATATCTTTGTTAGAAAGACAGTCGAGCCTCACTCAGTAATGAAAGCAGACTGACCGAGATTTGGCTTCGGCAGGTCAGGTTTGGTCGTGGCCGGTTTCCACCTCGCCGATGGCCATGCTTCGGCTTTCTTGGCCTCAGAAGGTCGTGTTTTCATGTCGCTGCAATTTCAACCACAACCATATAGGTTTCTTGACACGTTGGAAAAGTATCACCTAGGTCTCTAAGTAATGAAAAGATATCGAGGCGTGGCGTTAGTCGCCTCCTACTGGGAAAGTTTAAGTGGCGTGGGTTGAGACAGAGTAAAGAGAGCACTACCGCGATTGTACCAAAGCAAAGACCTGTGGAATACTGGTTTATTTATTTTGGCTGCCATGTCGATTAGCAGTTATGATAGTTATTCTTCTATATTGGCTTAAAAAAGATAACATGAATTAAGGTAGCGGGTCAATTACCTATGCCTTATCTGGTTCGTTACGTCATCTTTTTTCGGCGTTATATCGCCTCAAGTATCATATCCTGAATCTGTTTAACAATATTAACCTCCGTAGTCTGACTTGCCATAATATAAAACACATTTCCTAGCACCCTGGAGTGGATTTTGAAACCGCCGCTCACACTGAAGAGCGCGGACTGCAACCCGACAGCAGCACTGGATGCGTATCCTGGGTTCTCGTCTCGCAATTTAATGGCCAAGACCGACCCAAGGGCGACGATACTGTCAACTTCAGCGCGACAAGAGACTTCGGAAAGGAACGTAGGAGACCACATGCTCCATACGATTCCCTTGCCCTGCTCCCAAGGTCGCTTAAAGTCATCCCATGCCCCGCTTGCCTCCATCTGCAGTAGTTCTTTGATGGAGGTCTCGGCTACTTTACACCCCACGGCATGCGCCGTATAACTGTGGCCATGCAGTAAGGCATCTCGCTTCTCGGCACCCAAAAATGTTTTGTAGATGGCCTCGCTGGCAGCCGTTGCAGCGAGCGGCACAAGACCGCCCGTGAGAAGCTTGGCGTGTACGGAGATGTCAGGGTGCACGCCCAGAAGCGTACTGGGCGAAAAAGGGCCGAGGCGGGTAAGTCCCGTAAACACCTCGTCAAAGACAACGGGGAGACCAGTCCAGGTATTGTCATCCAGTGTGGGAGTTGGTTTGGAGGTGAAAAGAGTGTGTGACGCACGAACGACCGAGACCAGCGTGCTTTGGAAGAGCGGATCGATGAGGAGCATTCCCCCAGCGCCTAGAAGGACAGGCTCCATGACAAGCGCGCCAAAACTCTGGCCCTCCACGCGCACAAGGCGGTCGAGGGTTTTGAGGATATGTGTCCTATATTTTTCAGCCGCAGCTGAGGCATTGCGCATCCCGATGTCAAACACATCTCCTAAACTGGAAAACGTCTGTGTTGGGCCGAACTCGCCTTCCATGCCCTTGGGCGGCTCGACGATCCATTTCCCCCCCTTCATCTTTACCTCGGGGAAATCGAACCAGTGACCGCGTCCTTTGTACCAGTGGACGCGCTCGTTGTACGTTGACGGCTCCGAGCAGTCCATCGCTCCGATGGTGTCCCCGTGATAGGACGACCTGAGCCCCAACACGCCAAGTTCCTTCCCCTCGTAGTCGTACCGTTTCGATGCCGCCGATAATGCCATCTTCACAGCAACCTCTATGCCCGTACTGCCATTATCTGAGTAGAATATGCGTTGCAAGCGTGGGTTGCCCATGTGCTTCAACAAGAGCTCTGCTAAAGATAAAGCCGGTTCGTGGATCGTACCCGCAAACATGACGTGTCCGTAGCGACCAGCAGCGTGTGCAGCAGCCAAAGCGAGCTTGGTGTTGGCGTGACCAAGGCCCTGGGTCCACCACGAGGCGGAGCCGTCAAGAGTTGGCTTAAGCGTATTTTTTGGAGATGAGAAATATGCTTGGAAGAAATCGCCATGTGCCGAATCAATGGTCATAAGTGACGCTGGTGTAAGACCTGAATGTTGCGTAAAAGGATACCAGATGTGTTTATGCGCTTGCGGTGCCATGTCGTTGAGGCGGGCAAGGCGCAACTGGTGTGTAGTGGCGAGATCCGTGACGGTGTCGAGAACTTCAGGCCTGGAGGACATTTCGTCGTAGTATTCGGCCATGCGCTCGTAGTCGGATGCCGTCGTGCTCGACGGGGATGGTGGCGGTGGGACTGAGAGAAGGGCAATGTCCCGCTCCGCAAAGTAGTCCCGGAGGTAGAGATGGTTCTCGTATGTCGCATCCTCAAACACCAATACTCTGCTAATGTCGTAGCCGCGGATGTGCAGTGACTCAAATGCGGCGATGGAGGCTGAAATGCCGCCCAGCCGGTGGTCGCCGACAAGGATGACGGGAAGTCGCAGAGGCTGGTACATGTCTGCCTGCGAACTTCCGGATGGGGTCGGCGAGTGCACACCGCCAGCTGTCTCTATCAGCAACGTTCCCTGGCCGTCTTCTGCGCACTTAGCCACGTACGTCTGTATCTGTTCGCGAAGTGCAGCATCTGTGAGCTTCGTAGCCGCTACTCTAGCCGCCACATGCGGGCTCACAGGAGACCCATATTGAACCAACGTCTTGGATAGTGTTTGTGGCGAGAAGCGTGCAAGGTGGCCATCGTCAGCTTGATCCTGCGGGCCGGTCGACACCGGCTTCAAATACCAAACGTGTTCTTCGGGAAAGGCGCGGTGCAGCGCACCGCATAGAATGGCTGATGTAACTGTCTTGCCCACTCCTGTGTTCGCACCATAGACCTGATAGACACGCAAGGAGCGTCGCAGAATGGCGCCGGTGGCGCCAGTGACAGGCATTGTAGGTTGTGGCTGTGGTTGTCTTTCGCGGTCGTTGTCGTGGTTGTTGTCTGGTTCACATTATTGGTCAACTTTCCAGTGAGCGGCTCAACAATGGGTAAGGTGACATGTGCGCTACCCCACACACGTTTTTAATGGCTCACTGATTCCCCCCCCCCCCCCCAACTGTCCGGAATAAGATCTGCTCCTCGACTTCATGCTAGCAGATCATGCCCGTTGACTTTTTCAAGATTACAACTCCACACTTCCACACTCCCACAAGCCCGCCCCGAGACGAAAACTGGTGGTTTTCGGTTACAATCGGTTGCACAATGACTCCGAAGTAAGACGTGCGGTGAAATTTGCAATATATCAAATCAATATATTTTTTACTTCCCGCCCCTTCCCCTTGATGTAATCACAACGTTCACAATTCGAAGCTCGACCCACCGGGAACTCACCATCGACATGGCCCCCACACTTAGTGAGTCAATGCGGACCGCTCTCGCGTCGCGTGCCCGTAAGTCTTCACTGCGCACCCTCAGCGTTGTCCCGCCCGATTCCGTCGATTTCTCTTCCAATGACTTTCTGTCTCTCTCTGTGTCAGCCGCACTTCACGGCTCTTTTGTCGAGAACCTCCGCACTGGCCCATTGCGCCTCGGCTCTGGTGGCTCCCGGCTTTTGGATGGCAACAGCGAATATGCTACTGCCCTCGAAGCTACCATTGCCTCCTTCCACAACGCTGAGGTAGGCTGTCTGTTTAACTCGGGCTTTGACGCCAATGCCGGCTTCTTTGCTTGTGTCCCGCAGCCGGGCGACGTCATCGTGTATGATGCGGCCATCCACGCGAGTGTGCACGAGGGCATGCGGCAGTCACGCGCTGGAGTGCGAGCGCCGTTTGAGCACAACGACGTTGGTGATCTAGAACGTGTCCTGCAGAAAGCTGTGGCGGAGGATGCGCAAGTAAAACGCGGTGAGAGGAATGTTTTTGTTGCCGTGGAGAGTTTGTACAGCATGGATGGCGATGTCGCGCCGCTGAAGGAGATTGTGGAGGTGGTAGAACGTGTGCTACCTGCGGGAAATGGGAAGATAATTGTTGATGAAGCGCATTCAACCGGTGTGTATGGAGCGATGGGGCGGGGAGTCGTATGCGGTCTTGGGCTGGAAAAGAAGATGTTTGCCAGGCTTCATACCTTTGGTAAAGCATTGGCCTGTAATGGGGGTAGGATTCATATTTCGAAATACTTTGGCCTTTTTATCATGTGAACAACTTTGCTGATATTCTCATCTCCGCAGCCATCATTCTTTGCTCGCCGCTCACAAAGGAGTATCTCATCAACTACGCTCGTCCGCTCATCTACACGACATTCATGTCGTATCCTTCCCTGGTCGCTATCCGCACCGTGTACGATTTGATGATGAGCGGCGGAACTGCTGCAGCTGCTGCACACTTATGGAAACTCGTCGTCCACCTCCACACCCGTCTGCTCGCATTACCGCACTGTCCCACGAATCCCATCCTACGAATCCCAAAGCAGTGTCCACAATCGCCAATCTTTGCGCTCCTGACACCCCAGCCTCGCAGTCTGGCGCGAACGTGCCAGGAGGCTGGGTACGTCGTCCGAGCCATAGTGGCGCCGACAGTACCGTTGGGGATGGAGCGAGTGCGAGTTTGTCTGCATGCGGGAAATTCATTGGCAGAGGTGGAAGCTTTAGTCGGCATCATAAGGAAGTGGGTTCAAACGGGCGGAAGCAGGTCCGTCAAGCACAAGGCAAAAATATGAATGGCAGGTTCTGACATTCATTATGTGTATGGTGGGCGAATAATAGCCAAACAGGCATTATATGAATGAATGTGTTACATTCCATTGGCCACTCTTTGTGCCAGGCGACGACTTGTCTACCCTTTGTGTTAGTCATTCTCTGAGTATTTCGCCCTATGTCTAATGTACAACTGCCCCTATGACGAGGCGTAACCAGTACGCATGAAGCCGTATGTCGTTGGTCAACTCGGGATGAAAGCTGGTGCCTAGGACATTCCCCTGTCGTACGGCTACAATATCTCCCATTCCTGGAGCCGTCTCCGGCAACACGGCGAGAACTTGAACTTCTGGTCCGCTACTTGACAACAAGGCCTTGACCACTGGAGCGCGGATGAACACGGCTGGAAATGGTCGGACTTCCATGTCAGTCTTGGTTGCAGTCTCAGTCTGAAGCAGTGGTATGTCTACGTCAGCAACAAAGCTCTGTTTCTGTCGTCCAAAATGATTGCGATGCACAAGTATATCCAAACCACCAATCAGCTCCTGTCCTCCTATTTTTGTGCCAGTGGTTTCTTGAGACAGCAAGACCAATCCAGCACAGGTACCCCAAGTGGGCTTTTTCTGAACTCTGTTGCTGTTAGAGACGATCGATACCGTTGGGTTTCTTTCCAAACAGGAACGCCTGCACGCACCGGACAAAGTTGCGAAGTGGCTCCAGCAGACCCGACCGCGACGCAATAAGTGCCATTGTGGTACTTTCACCGCCCGGGATGACAAGAGCATTGCATCTGGCAAGTTCTTTGGGCGTGCGGATCGCCATGATGCTGACCACTGTTGTCGTAACGCCCGTTTCGACGAGTTGTGCTGCTGTTTTCTCCAGCATCGAGACATGCTCGACGAAGCCACCCTGCAGGGCTAAGACACCCACTGTGATGGCCATATCTGCGTTGAATGTGCCTTCCAGTGTCAAACCACTTTCGAGGCGATTTTGAGGAATTAATTGCAAAATTCCATGGTACATCCACAGCGTTCAACAGTTCGGGTACTCACCACGAAGTGGTCATTAAATGACTCATATTCACGTCCGACAACCGGTCGCTCGTTTTAGCAACCTGACGCATTAGGCAAGTGGTCTGAAGTCCTACAGCCGACCAGACCAACCAGAGCCAACCGGAGCAAACCAGGGTGAGCCACTGCGGACAGCTTGGTCAACTGCGCAAGACTGTCCAATCGCAGCGCAGAGATGAGCAGAGTTTGCTGCCAAATCGGCATTAGTTCGGCAAGAATCGGAGGGCGGGAAAATGTGTGTTAAAACGGGCGAGAGGGCTTCGAAAAGTTTCAAATCAACTCAAAAACTATCGTAAACATCATCGTCCCAAGACATCGCGAGCATCAATTTCAGCCTCACCAGCCTTGTCCTCAGTTTCCAGCCCGACAGAGACAATCCACTGCCCACACTCCAAGATAAACAGGCATTGTCGACTCACGCAGCCAATCCCAGCGCACAGAACAGCCCCAGACATGGCATCGACCAATGAGAGCGCTGCTTTGAGCAGTTCCGGCAACGCTCCCGGCAAAATAGCGCCAAATGCAGCAACCATCACTGCAACGGCAACCACCTCTGCCACGAGCCCGTTTATGGTCAAGGCGGGCCTTGCCCAGATGCTCAAGGGTGGTGTTATTAGTAAGGACGCACCGTCGTGAAGCTCAGTTGTTGTCGTTCCCCATCTCACTAACTTTTACCCCACAGTGGACGTCACCAATGCTGAGCAGGCGCGCATCGCCGAGGAGGCTGGCGCCTGTGCCGTTATGGCTCTTGAGCGTGTGCCTGCTGACATCCGTGCGACTGGTGGCGTTGCGCGCATGAGTGACCCTGCCATCATCAAGGCCATCCAGGCGGCGGTGACAATCCCGGTCATGGCCAAGGCCCGCATCGGGCACTTTGTGGAGTGCCAGATTCTCGAAGCACTGGCCGTCGACTACATTGACGAGAGCGAGGTGCTAACACCCGCCGACGACGCCTTCCACGTTGAAAAGGACGAGTTCTCAGTTCCTTTTGTGTGTGGCTGCCGCAACCTGGGCGAGGCCCTGCGTCGCGTCGCCGAGGGCGCGGCCATGCTGCGAACCAAGGGCGAAGCCGGCACGGGTGACGTTGTCGAAGCTGTCAAGCACGTGCGTGCCGTGCGTGCCGATATTTGCGCGGCCCAGTCTGTCCTGAAACAGTCTGGCGAGAGCGGTATCCGCGCCCTGGCCCGCGAACTGGGCTGTGACGCAACTCTGCTGCGCCAGACCGCCGAGCTTGGCCGGCTACCAGTGGTTAACTTTGCCGCAGGCGGCATTGCAACGCCAGCGGACGCTGCACTCATGATGCAGCTTGGCTGCGATGGAGTCTTTGTCGGCAGCGGCATCTTCAAATCCGGCGACGCGGCCCAGCGCGCCAAAGCCATTGTGCGGGCCACAACCCACTACAGTGACGCACAGGTGCTTGCCGAGTGCAGTGAGGGGCTTGGCGAGGCCATGGTCGGCATCAGCGTTCGAAGTCTAAAGACAGAAGACAAGCTGGCCGGTCGCGGTTGGTAGCTAGCTGAGTAAAACGCCCAGTGGTGTGCCAAGTATAATGGCGTCTGTGTTCTATGTCGCAACCAGGTTAAGCATGAGCAAGGATATGAATATAGATAGTGACTTTTCGCTGACATGCAGTATTATTTCGTGGCCGAGGAGAATTGTCTACTAGGTGGACGTTAACGTCTACAAATACACTTCGTAAGCACAGGTTGTGTTTAAACAAGGGTCATATATTAAACCATGCAGATTAACCATTCCAGCTCCAAGCGCGGAGTAACGCGTACCTTACAACAGACGAAACACTAAACTAACAATAGTGACGAACAGACGTATGCCGTCGTGCATATAAAACCGAGACAGTATGACGTGTAAAATGATGAAGAAACTACTCTTTGCAGAGTGCGACACGAGTCGGCTCACAAAATCTTCACTTCGAAACCAAGCTCCCGCTCAATGTCGGCGAGGAGATGGGCCATCGGTGTGATGTATGTGAAATCCATTCCCGTCACTGCTCGTTCGCTTCTAGCAGTCCCGCCAGTAATCATACCAGCGACCCGGCCCTGTAGATCGAAGACAGCCGCACCCGAATCACCCTCCGAAGAAAAGACGTTCTCGAGAGGCCACCTAGCATCGAACCGCATTGCGCTGATATGGACAACCAACCATTCGAATGACTCAACCATCTCAGTGCCGACAGATTGCCGGCACACCGACCTCATGTCGAGTGCGACACCGACTGTCAATCCCGTTTTGACTCCCCGCTTCAAGACAACGAAGTACGAATCATCATCTCTGGTTGCGACCAACGCATGCTGTTTTGGGCGACCCCGGATCTTATCCAGTGTGACAGTGCCCGACAAGCGCATCAGTTCATTTGTTGGCATTATGAAGCGGTCAGGACCGTCGAGGTATTCGTTGATAGAACCAAGGATACTTCCTGGTCGGTCGGCCTTGAGGTCAACATAATTTTGAAAGTCAAAATTATCGGGGAATTTGGCCCTATCCAGCGCAATAAGAGCCCAATCTCGAGTGTAGCGTGGCTCGCCAGGGTGGTCGTTCACTGCCACATCAGGCGCCCGGTGGACGTGGCCAACGACGGCGGCATTGTCAGAGGCACGGAATGACGTGAGCTTCTCTCGCAACTTGGTGGCGCGCTCGAGGACTTGGCGATCCACTATGTTCTGAGCGTCTGGTGGTCCTCGGTGGCCATTGACCAAAAGCCAAGCATTGGTGATAACACTATTGATGTTCTGCAAGGCACTGTTCAGCTCTGTGCGGGAGGGCATCACAATTTTGGCCCGGTTGTACTTGGTGGTATCGTCCTCTTCAGGATAAACCACGTGGTGGCAGGTGAGTGCCCACACAGGATTGGCAGTTTCGCTAGAGCCAGAAACTGGTCCCAAGTAGAGTCCTAGTGTGCCTTCCATATGCTGCGCATTCTGCGGCGAAATGCCAGTTCCCACCGTCGTCGAGATCGCTCTTTCGCTGACGCATTCTTCTGTCGAATAACGTCTGCGGATTTGATCAACCGAAGGCAACGTGTATCTTGCGTCTGCTTCGACCGCTCTCATGTTGTCACTGATTCGGAGCTCGCACTCTACGTCGAAAAGCTGTTCGCTGTCGAGAACGCTGCGTACAAGGCTCAAGCAGTGGGAAATGACAGGCCATGTCGCTCTGACGGCTTCGGCATTTGCGACGCCGACCCAAAGGACAACTGGACGCTCGTTCGCCGGCATTATTGTTCGACCAACCCGAACGGGTACCATGGACGAATATGGTAGTTCATTAAAGGCGTCTGAGAGAAGATCTCGGAAGGAATCGTTATCCCAATGTTCGCGAATAGGATGTGCACCAACAGGTCCGCAGGACATGCTGGTATCCTCCTTCCCGTAGTTCCAAGCACCGCGCCGAGGAGCCGCCATCGCGTTATCCCAGGGCAAAGACAGAGAGGAAGTCCGGCCTAGGAGGATTGGCTGCGAAGGCAACCATTGGTAGAACATGGCTGCCTCGTCTTTTGACGGCTCCTGAAAGTGGGGGGGGCGCGCTGCAGGTGGTTCGGTCTTGGTCACCTCTCGACTGTCAATGCTGGACGCTTGCGTCTCGTCGGACTTGTTTTTTCCCCGGCGAGATTCGGTAGGGCTCTCCGAACCTTCCGTGTCGTCGATTGGGCTTGTCACATCCGCCGTCTCGATCGAAACATCTTCAGCACGGAGGGAGTCCATTGCGTTGGGCGCGGTAACTGCGTCATCTGGGGCAATAGGCCGTTGTGCGCGGTGAGGATGGGAACTCATGGCATGGGATAGATTAAAAAAGCTTCTCGGAAAATCAGGAAGTGATAGAGTAGATAGGTGACAATCCTGAGGATGATGTCGAGGAAAGAGAAGATCGAGGATGATCGAAATGGATGATGGAAGTTACATATTTAGAAACGCAAAAGACTGCGACAGGAGAAAAGGCGATTATTTGGTACTCGTTCAGGATGGAGAGAGAGTTTTTGACAAAAACAAACACGGACAAAGACAATGAAATGTTAGCCACACGCTTCAATATGCCACTTCGCAGTGCGAAGAACTCAAAATAAATGGCTTGTACGGCGTACGTCACAGTTTGGTCGCGACAAAAATGGCCCAAATGTGCCAGTTAAAGAAAAGCGGGGCATTTAAAGTTCCATCACCAACCACTTAAAGCACTTCACTACGACGTATGGAGTAATACCGCCCCGGGAATCCGACTACCACCAACGGGCAGTATATCATCTTGATGACCTTGATCGGTAATAAAGTTCATTATAAAGTATCGTAGCCAACTTCCACAGTCACGCAACTATACCTTGGGAAGTCTCTCTCGGACTGGACAGGAAGACGGTGAATGGCCGTGTTATGAGCCAACGGGCATTACTTCGCATATTAACGTACTAGCATCATGGACTTACGTCTTGGGCTTGTTACGGCTTATTACTTCACGGCCAAACATATTCAGCAAACGAACCAAAATCACAATAACGCCGGGTGGCTGAAAGGTATACAACAGAATGCACAACACCAAAACAACAAAAACATTGCAATCTATGCCTCGAAACCCATAACCTGAAACGCCCTTGGAATGCCAAAAGAGTGCCAATCATCACCGGCGAAGCCCAACACAAAGAGGGCCAGCACTTCATACGCAGCTCACACAAACAGCCCGACCCATGCTTTCTTTGCTGTGACATCCGACTGGCAGTTCTCTACGGCGCAGAGAATTGTCTTGCCCTCCGCAACGAAGACCACAGGCGGCACCCCCGTCTTTGTGGTAGCGCCGCTTCCACCACCTCCACCTGTGGCAATTGGCGAGCCAGCGTCCTTTTTCAAGCAATTCCGCCGGTTCTCGTAACAAGATTTGCAAAACACGTGACCGCACGCTGTGGCGGCCCAGAAATTGTGCTCTTCGCGGTCCTTGCGACTGCGTGTCTTCTTTTTTGGCGGTTCGCTAGCATGGCGACCCATCTCGTTGGGATCATAGGCCAGTTCAACGTCGCATCCGGCACAGACGGCCACCATGTCCTCGCCCGTGCTGCGAGTGTAGCCTTCGGGGGCAGTGGTAGGAGCGGGATACGCTGTTCGACGAGTACCACCGTAAGGGACGTCACGGTGACTATGGCTATTGCCATGACCGTGACCGCGACCGCGCGTATTGAATAGGCCACCGTTCATTTGGTAGTTGAGGTCGGGCAGATCGAACAACGGGTTGGTGCCCATGATTTCTTCAAACAAGGCGCGCTCGTTGCTTATGCCCATCCCAATCCCCATCCCCATCCCGATTCCGTGCAAATCAGGGACGCCGATGCCACGAACCGCCTCTGCCCTCACGGGCCGGTTATGCATCCTTGCGTGCGTCCGGCTCTGGCCCTGCTGGCGACCACTCCTACTGCTGCGGCTCACATTTCCTGCCACCACGCCGCCGCCGCCGCCGCCGCCAAAGGCAATGTTCGCAAAATGAGCCATACCACTGATGCTGAAACCTCCAAGACTGCTGCCAAAGCTGCCGAAAAGTGAGCCAGTTCCTCCACTGTTGTTGTTGTCGTTGTTTCTGCTGTTGTTACTGTTGCTGCCGTTGCTTCGATTGCTTCCGTCGCCTGCATTGTAAGACCCTTCACCGGCAAATGGCATGTTGGCGTAATCTTGCATAGATAGATGCAATGATTCTAAAAGGCCGTGCCCGGATTCGCGGTATTGTTGCTGTGCCTGTCGAAACCGTTGACGCTGCTGCGACATATGCTGCGCATGAAGGTGCCGATGCGCGCCGGCATCAGCAGCGGCTGAGGGGGGATCGTCGTCGGCGACATCGGTCAAGTCGATAACGTGGGGCGACTGCGTTTGCGAGGATCGTGAAGAAGATTCGGCCGCTCGCGCTGACGATCGAAGTGCCGTTCGCGATGCCGTCTGCATTGCAGACCGTGCCGCCGACTGGGCGGCCGATCGAGCCACCATTCGAGAGGGAGGGGAGAAATGTTGCGCGTGCTGCAAAACAGGGCTGTCCGGTTCTTCGGTCAGGTCGATAATGTCACGCTCTGGCCGTTGCGGTGGCCGCGCCATGGCAGCTGACGATGCGACGCGGCAATAAGAGGGCCAAATAGCAGTGTGAGAATCGACTGATGTGTAGTGATTTTGTGTAGAGGACTAAAGTCGTCGCTGCCGTCACTTGCGTAACATCGGCATGTTGGTGCGTGGTTATGTTTGCGTTGGTGCTGATGTTGATGTTTGAGGGACGTTCAGTAGTACTGTTCACAAATTCACGATTACGGTTATCCTCTGTTGAGTTATTGCATTAGCAGCACAACAAAAACACGCGCTGACTGCACAGGCGGCCAAGCGGCTACCATGTTGCCTACTAGGGATTCCGGCGCTAGTATGAGGGGCAAACTTCGGTTTCCGGCGCTTGGTCAGCCTGGCGAGCGTCTACAGCCCTAAACCCCGAGGGGCGATACGCTGGACAGCGAACGAATATTTGTAAAATCCGTCACCAAGTCACGCGACGAACATAAAAAGAACCAGATGATATGACAAGAATAATGCGCTTTAAAGTCGACGATAGATACCAGTACAAAATAACACGCATGAGGAAAAAGAAAACCCAAAGCGATAATAATTACGACATAAAAGACGACACATGAGCGAAAAATTGTACAAATATGATCAGACACTTGGCCCGGCCAGCAACTCCAACTCGTCGTCCTACTCCTTCTTCCCTACCACAGACACAACGCCGTCTGCATTCACCGACAGCAGCTGCTTTGCGTGCGCGCCCCACTGTACGGCTACAGAAGGCGTCGCACTCGACAGCGTCTGCGACCACTTCTTGGAGCCCTTGGCGTAGTGCTGCACCGTGAGCCCCGCCGGGCCGGCCGTGGCCAAGAACTGACCCGAGTAGTCCCAGGCCAGCGCGGCGACGGGGCTACCAATGTCCAGCACCTTGGCCGTGACAGCGTCGCCCTCCTTTCTCAAATCAAAAATAGTGACAGTAGTCTGGCCCTTAGCGGTGGCAGCAATCCAGTAGCCGTTCTCCGAGAACGCCAGCGCCTGCACAGGTGCCCCCAGCACAAATGATGTGGCCAGCTCGCCCGTCTTGGTCATGTAGACCTGCACCTCACCCGTGGTAGACGTGCCGGCAGCCAGCAGGTGGCCATCGGGTTGAAAAGCACAGGCAGTCAGCGACGCGGTGCTGTGGGCGCGGCTGACGCGGGTGGCGGTATCCAGATCGTAGAGGGAAATGGTCTTATCGACACCAACAGATGCCAGAATGCGTCCCGATGGGTGGACGGCCAAGCCAGTGACGGCGCCGGCATGTGCTTTAACTGAAGCTTTCTCGGAACCCGCCTCGTAGATCTTGATAGCGCCCTTTGCCGTGCCCAGGACGATGCGCGTGCTGCCTGTCCACAAGGCCGTCGTCAATGGCTCGCCGACCTCAATCATACGCTCGAGCTTCTGTGATACCACAGCAAAGATGCCCACACTGCCCTCCAGCCCGGCAATCGCAGCATATTCGCTGTCGGTGGCCTCGATTGTCAAGGCCGTGGCGCGGACCACGGGCAAGTCCTCGGACGCAATTGGGGCAAAGGCAGCAATGTCCTCGTTGGACGCCCAGTCCGCCGGTATGCCTCTCTTCTTCCGTGACTTGGACAGCGTCTTGTGCGTTTCATCCACGGCCGCGGCCAGTACCTCGGGCAGCTCCTCGTTGTCGACTGCCATCGAGTCGTCGTCGCCATCAGTCGCGCTGGCAGCAGCAACAGTCACGCGCGACAAGGAGTCTCGCGCGTCGTCGCGCTCTTTGGTTAGGCGCGCGATCACGCGAATTGCCGCATCGTGCTGATACAGGGCCGTCGCCAGCTCCGTGCGTGTTTGGGAGAGCTGCTCCTGCAACGTGTATGTCTCGAGGGCTAGGGCGTCCCACTCGTTTTGGAACGTCGCAAGCAGTGCCGGGATGGATGTCAGGGTGGGTGGTCGCGGACGCACAGTGCGGCCGGCCTTGAGGGGTAGCAGATCCTCGACATCGAGCTCCGTCTCCGTGCCTGGTTCGGTTCCATGTTCTTCAATGTACTTTTCAATCAGGCGCTTCTCGTAGACGGTGCCGGTCTTTTTCGAGACGACCGGCACCTCGGGCACCTCGCCGGAGATGGCGCACAGCATCGTGGGGAGAGGCGAAGGAGAATTTGTCGGCCTAATACAAAGTAATGGAGGGAGGTGAGGGAGCAGGAAAAGTCGGAAATGGTCGTTACTGACTAATGAGGTACGCTGTGCTAACGTCGTCAATGGGTGACAGATGGGTTGAATGCTGTAGATGACCTTCCGGCGAGCTTGTTGTGCCTGGGCCTGTTCGTCGCGTCGAAATATTTTATGCTAGGCACGGCTGGCCAATCAGATGCCGTGGTGATAAGATAGTGCCAGTTCACCTTGGTCAACTCGTACGAGTATGTCGTTGGTCATAGCACTGTAAGAATGGTCCGTAACAGCTAGGCCAACCGGCAAAATAGAGAGCCCTCTAACACCAAGGCTAGAAAACAGGTCTGAAAAATATTACCGTGGAATTCCAACAAGCACTGTTTTTCTGTAGTTTGCCGCGTGTTATCCAACCACCAAATGTCGTGCAGAACTTCCTCTTCTCCATTTCTTTGAATTCATCACATCTTGCTACCATTACTGCCGCTTTCCTGGGCCAAAACATTCGCGTGAGGCCCCTTTGGCACGCAAAATGGGCGCACCTGGCCCAACTAGCAAATCGGCGCCGTCCGTCTGATTCAGCGGCCACCGCCGTCCACAGCCATCTCCACAGCCATCTACGAGCCACTAAGCTCAGTATAAGAATTGGCGAAGGACGCAATGAGCCATGTCACCAACCACGCGCCATAATACTCCGATATTGTATCTTACAGCTCTAGACCTGATACCGTGATACCTAGCAGCTATACTTGCTCACGATGGCCTCTCTCAGTCTACCCCCTATTGCGACTCTCGCATCCCTGCCCGTTGAGGACATCGCCGCGGCCCTCGACCTGCTCTTTGAGCACAGCAAAGACCTCCATGCGCTGGCTGTTCCAGCCATTCGCTCTACGGCCTCGTCAGGCGGCCTCAACTCGTATGACGACGTCGCCGACACAGTCCGCACACAGCTTCTAGAGCTGCAGAACCAGGTAGCCACCTTTGTCGATCCAAACCCGACGCAGGCCGCACTGGCAGCCAAGTCTAAGCTGCTCAACATCCTGTGCGCTCACCCACGCCTCGGGGCCAAGAAGGTCGAAAGTACCCAGAGCGTGGCCGAACAGGCGCAGCTCAACAAGGCATCGGCCAATGAGGCGAGACTGCTAGCCGCGCTCAACGCCGAGTATGAGGCCGCTTTCCCAGGGCTCGTCTATGTGGTTTTTGTGAACAGCCGGTCACGAGACGAGATTATGGAGAACATGCGGGCACGCATTGACCGAGGTGTCTATGCTCTGGAGGAGGTCGAGGCCATAGAGGTAAGTGCCGGCAATGCCCGGTCATCGTTTGGGTTTTTTTTTGTTTTGTTTTGGGGGGAGGTCATTCTATCTCTTATCCTCTGCTCATAATGCCTTTTTTGACCACGAGACTGACGATATCAAATAACCAGGCCATGACCTGCATTGCCAAAGACCGTGCCAGCAAGTTGACCCACTGACCCACGGAGGTAAATGAGGTCGGGTGGCTTGAAGGTATGCATTTGGTCTATCACTCTGAGTTGACGAGTTCAATACGATGGACGTAAGGTTGTAAGTTTTCAACCGTGTTTTCCATGTTGAATGCTTTACAAGGTGATGGAGTCATCCTATAGCGCATCAACATAAAAACAGCCATTAAAGCAGTATGTTACTGCGCACACTACTGGCATCGAAGACTTTTGTATTGGTAGTTGCTAGGATGTCAAACGTACATCAGAGGTTCTTTCGATAAAAATCCCCTCTATTCCGTTACAGGTTGCAAGTCGTAAGATTACACACACAACCAAAAATATATCCATAAGATAACTATGCATTTTGGTTTACTTAAACCCGGTTGATTGGCAAAAAAAAAAAAAAAAAAAAAAAAAAAAAAATGAAAACCGCGAAAAATTCGTGATACTTTAAATTATACATAGACAATTCAAATAAAAAGCACTGAAACTTCCCCACTGCAATGCCTTTGAAAGGCCTTGTGCACGACGTAATTGTTTCCTGATGTCCATTATTTCAGAGGCTTTCTCCAAGTCTTTGACCACCGGGTCGACCCCACCACTGATTTTACTCAGCCCTGGCTATTTAGCGCGAAACGCCGATATCGACCTGCGCATAGGTCTGCTGAGGTCCGTTTACAAGCTACATGTCCAGTCACGTGATATTCAGCAAGAAAAATAAACGCTAGTCTTATCCAGGAAAGGACATCATTTTTGCAATTGGGATTTTCCTCGTTTTCCTCGGCCCACCGCCCGCCAAAAGGCCAACAAACAAGCAGGTGGCAGCTATGTTTCCGGGACGCCGTCAGCCCATATCACCAAAAGCCTCAAATTCGCGTTTTCGTCCTTTAATTTCTTTCTTCGCTGATTTCGTCTTCCACACCCACCTTCCGAAGCCGCCTTCGACGCACCCGCAAAGCAGTCAATTCGTATCGCCAATCGCGGAGCGAACGTTTGATAGAAATATTTCCCTCCCACCCTCTTCTCACAACCAGCCGACACCATGTTCATGCAGCGCGCTGCTCTGATTGCTGCCCGCCGGGCCGCCGTTGCACCTGTCGTCCGCCGCGCCTTCACGACGTCGTTTGTCCGCTGTACGTACCCGAGACGAAATTATGAAGCAGATGAGATATGTTTGCTATTGTGGATGCAACCGTGGGAGTACCCCAAGGAGGATGATGACAAGTCCTTGGCATGGCACATGAACAGGGAACGCGATAATTGTGAATCGATGCTGGAAAACACGACATGTTAACATATGATTGATTACTAGGCGAGGCCGCTCCTCCTACCAACACGACCCCCAAGATCAAGTTTCTTTCCGGTAAGACTTTCCCCATGATGAAACTGAAGTTCCTTCTCATCTAGCCATTGCTGGCAGCATAAGCTAATATGCCTCCTTTCTTCTCCAGATGTCAAGACCAGTGCAGACCTTCTCGGCCCGGGTGCCCAGCCTGGCACTGTCCCCACAGACCTCGAGCAGTCAACCGGTATCGAGCGTCTCGAGATTCTCGGCAAGATGGAGGACGTTGACGTGTTCGACATGCGGCCCTTGGATGCGTCGCGCAAGGGGACTGTTGAGAATCCCATCTTGGTTCGCTCCGCTGGTGAGGAGCAGTACGCCGGTTGCACGGGCTTCCCAGCTGACTCGCACAACGTCATCTGGGTCGGCCTTTCGCGTGAGCGCCCCGTCGACCGCTGCTCCGAGTGCGGCAATGTTTACAAGATGAACTACGTTGGTCCCCAAGACGACGGCCACGGCCACCACGATCACCACCACGGCTACGAGGAGCCCAAGACGTTTGCCGACTTTGTCAAGCCAGAGTACTGGTAAACGGTGCAACGATTCACTAGATCAACGGATCAACCGATCAGATAATAGCTGTAGGTCGGTTTATCATTGCCGTGACGGGCACGGGACGAGTAGAACAGGATGAAGTATACATGGACGGGCTCTAGATAATGAAACGAAATCGTGAATAAAAATTGTATACATGTCAAGATGTTTTGCTTGTCAACGGTTCGTTTCCTTTGCAAGACCATTTTATGTCCAAGTCTGTAGGCACATTTCGCATGGGGATGGCCTAGTCAACACTCTTCGGTCGTTCTGTGCATTCTGCTTATGCACAATGTGTCGTTTGCTAGGAAGTCTTTCAACCATTACGAACCGTGCAAGCTCTGCTAGCTGTGCCCATGACCCTTTCCTCGACATAACATGGTCCATGAGGAGGCCAAGAAGTTTAGCAACGCGACGCAAGAATGCCCCGGTTGAACGTCGGTGCTGGGTATGTGGCTGTTTGGCACCGTCCCGGCAGGCGTGTCGGTGGTTTCGCATCGAGGTTTGAGGTATTCGGACTCTCAAGAGATTTACCAATCGACCTATGCTCAACCCTCGTCTTCATCCTCGAAGCTCAGCTGGATCTTCCTTGCCTTTTTCTTCTTCTTGACATTATCTTTTTCGCTTCCCTGTGAGGTTGCCTTCTTTATGGCACCTCCGTCTTCAGACACCTTGGCGCGGGCCTTTCCATCATCGCTTTTGACATCGTTGTCACGAAAGCGCCGCTTCCGTTTCCGACGGTCGGTGCTGTTACTGTTGTCACTATCATTGTCGCTTTCGCCACCAATGACCCGTCCAAGCCTTTTCTTTTTTCCGGCACCAATACCAGCAACGCCATCCAGGGAAGTACTGGTCTTTTCATATCTCTTTGTCGTTCCCGCTTCGTCATATTTGTCCTTGTTGTCCATAGTCGCAGTACCGTCTGTGTCAACTGTCACACCTGCCATAACATTGCCATTGTCGTCTAATATGAGGGGCGCATCCTCTGCTTCTTCGCTAGCCGAGCGCTTCTTGGCAGCACGACGCTGAGTGGCAAGAATTGGGTCGGCTCGTTGACCGTTGCGATCGTCGTTATACTGGCCCTGCAGTTTGGCCAGAAATGCCGGCAGATTTTGCGAGTAGGAAAGACTGTTTGCGTTGAACTTTCCCATTTTGCTGTGTGTCGAGGAGCCGATGATCTGCCAACAAGTTGATAACGTGCGAGGCAGGGCTGTGAACAGATTTTGGCCGCGTTGATGTGAGAATACATGGCGGAGCCTGATTAGGTTTGTTTAGCCAATGAGGAGAGCTAGCCACCTGCTGACAATGTGGTGCAGCAATGATAGTCAAGTGCAAAAGCAGCGTCGGCAACACTTACTTACTTGATCTTCCACTTGTAGCGCTACCGTGGCGAACGTTATGCGAATGTTATGCAAATGTGACCCCGCCGTTGCCTTATTTTAATGTTCAACTGCCCAAAAGCTCCGGTTCTTCGTGTGTCTCTTTTGCCCAAAACCTAATTAACTTTTCAAAGCACCGCAGAAATTTACAACTCCGTTGGTCCGCTTTTAGTTCCTAACTCTGATAGACCTTTGCCAGGTTCCGATGATAGCATTCATTACGGCGACGGCTGCAGCCGCCATAGACAGTCTGCCAACCGCCGTTACTCGTCTTGCAGTTCTCTACGCTGGAGTCAAGGTTGCTCACGCGCTATACAAATTTGGCAGCTTCTGCGCCGTATACCTGCGGCCGTCCCAGTTGTACCGTTATGTTTACGACGATGCCAACGGTAACCCACCTTGGGCATTAGTGACAGGTGCCTCTGATGGCGTCGGCGTCGCTTTTGCGGATCAGCTTGCCGCCGCCGGGCTCAATGTTGTGCTGCACGGGCGCAACAAAGCAAAACTGGACGGTGTCCGCAAGCGACTCGCGGAGAAGCACCCGCAACGGCAGTTCCGTCTGTTTGTGGCCGATGCAACGCGCGTGTGCCACCCGGTGCTCACCGATGTCAACGGAGACATTGACGGAGACGTCAACGCCAGCTTATCTATTGATAACCTCGTCGAAGCCCACTTGGGCGACCTTCACCTGACTGTGCTCATCAACAACGCGGGCGGCGGTCTGCCTTCGCCAACGTACGGCTCGCTGGCCGAGACGTCGAGCACCCGCATTGTGGATAATATGAATCTCAACGGTGTGTTCCCACTGGTACTCACGGCGCGCTTTCTCGAGCTGCTTCAGCGACGCAGACAGCAACCAACGTCATCATCTTCAAACCCCGCTCTCATCATGAATATTGGCTCGTTAGCCGATATTGGCTTTCCCTTTGTCACACCCTACGCCGCGTCCAAGGTGCTAATAATGGCCGCCACGAGCATGGCCCGCCGCGAGCTGGAGGCCCTCGGCCAGGGTGGCATCCAGATGCTTGCTGTGCGCTTCGGCAGCGTCACGGGTGTCAGCCACACCAAGAGTGCACCGAGCCTCTTGGTGCCGGACACGGATACTATGGCGCGCGCCTCCCTCGCTCGGACAGGCAGCCACCGTGACGTTGTTATTGGTCATCTGCCACAGGCGTTACAGAACTTGGCACTTGTCCCACTTCCAGCGTATATGCTAGAACAAATTTTTAAAGGCGTTATGATGGCACGGCGCACTAAGGAGATGAAGGAGATGTCGGAACAGAAGAAATCGGAATAGGTTTAAAGCCGTTGCTTATCGCTATCCAGAGCCGTAACGTCGTTAATACAAACTTGACTGCCGGACAAGTAAATGGCGGCAACACATCTGCAGTATCGTGGGTTTCAAGCCACCCAACGTACAAAGACAGGATCCAGTATTTCGTATGGACAGCACCTCTTCGCTGCATACGCAAAGCATATTGTGGTCACGTGTCTTCTGCCTCCTTTTTGCTCCTCCCTTCCATCGAAGTTTGGCCTTGTTCATTTACAGGAGGCTTCAGCAGCTCTTAAGAGTTTGATCATAGGCCAGAATCAGTTTGTCTTACGCTGTGCAAGCTCACTGTTCTAGGTCAGTTCCCTTGTATCCTGTCGAGCAAATACTGACCGTTGAAAATGCCAGCCCACCAATTCGGACCAATTAGGGTGTCCTATTTCATTCTCGACCAGGGGAGTTAAAAGTGGGACTTGCCTGCAAACTTTCATTACGTGGTGAGGCACCCTAGCGTGGAATGAAAGGGAGGCGGAAGAATTAGTGACTTAATTTTGTATTAAATTTAATTCTGGTTCCTGCTTCGAAATCTGGCACTGGCTCGATTGCTCCTCATACGAAATTTGCCCCTTAGCGAATTCTGTCCTGAAGAGTGGCCCGAGGCCAGACATCATGTCAATTGGAGATTTTGTCTTTTCTGGTCTGGATTCGAGGGTCTTCTGGATTCTTTTGTTCTCCCTTCTTTGACATGAGCGTTGAGCTTCCCATAGACGACAACCAGCGCCAGTAAACATCGTGCCGCCCTGGACGAGTTACTGCTGTCCGTTGCCCCTTCCTTTCCACGCTCCTTCTCCGTGCAGCGCGCAGTGGTGCAGTGGGAGATAGACCTTGCCTGCCCGCATAGCTGCATTTTCCCCTAATCTCGTCAGTTTCTCGGCTTCGACAAGTTTTCCTCCCTCCCATCTCTTTCCTTTCCTCCGTTCTCGTTTCCAACCGCACCAACCGCCTCTGTGTTGACAGGAACACACTCACTTTTGTCGACGGTAACCTGTCCGCCATTCGAATCGACTGCGGTCTTCCAGAAGCGCCTCCGCCGCATCGACGGCGCTTGTCTGCCACTAGATCTTGATCTTGGCGATCGTGTTTTCTCGCTCGCGCAACAAATTGTCTTTCGTTCATTTCTCTTTCCCTTCCCCGCCACTCGCTCGGATTCGACGTTACTAAACAACACGTACGCGTGCTACCATTCGGCTTGATGGTTGCGCTGGCTTCGTTTTGATGCTATCTGCTTTGCTTCTTCAGATTCTCTTGTACTTTTGTTCATCGACGTTGACTTTGTGATCCATCGCGGTCCATTTCGTGCAGCCTTTCCCATCCATCCCTATTGATAGTTGGACTCAGGACTCACGGCGACCGTCCTCTGGTCTTCCACATGTTGGTGTCGGCTGCCCATTGAGTGTTTTCTTAAGCCTTTGACGTTTTGACACTTTCACCCATACCTCTCCCATCGGACAAACTCGACACACGTCCCTCGAAAGTCCTCCCCGTGTCGCTCTACGCAGCCGCGACTATGGATATCGTCCGGCGGGTGTCCCGGTACATCCCGGCGACCCGGACGCCGCAACTACCGTCCGCGGACAACAGCAAGAATCGCAACAAATCGCGTTCGGCAAAACTGTGGTCACGCCTCGAGTTCTTCCGCCGCCCGTTGCGGTTAAGAGGCAACTCAAGCATATCGGTGCCTCTGGGTGTCGTCATCCTCTTTCCCTGCATTGTCGTCATTCTCATCCTGGTGCTTTTTGTCAAGCACCCAAACTCGCCCGGCCGGATATTAATGCCAGCCGGTGCTCCGCCTTCCATTCGGTATGTCTACTACATGCCCTCTTGTTTTTTTTTTCAATCATCCTAACAAGCTTGTAGCAAAATCAGCGAAAAACACGACAAGGTTTTTGTCAGCGGCTGCCTCGAGCCCGATACCAGTCAACCCCGCGCGAATGCGGCCTTTGTCGTCCTCGCCCGCAACAAGGAGCTAGACGGTGTGATCCAGTCCATGAAGTCTATCGAGCGCCACTTCAATCGCTGGTACCACTACCCGTACGTCTTCTTGAATGATGGCGACTTCAACCAGACCTTCAAGGACACCGTCCGCAACTACACCACGTCCTCTATTGAGTTTGGCAAGGTTGGCGCCGACATGTGGGGCTTCCCTGACTGGATCGATCCCAAAATTGCCAAAGAGGGCATTGCCAAGCAGGGTGATGCTGCCGTCATGTATGGCGGTCTCGAGAGCTACCACGCCATGTGTCGGTTCTACTCGGGGTATGTTCCACTCTCTACACTTGTTCATGATA